TCTAAACGTACAAATATTCAAGCCAAAAACATAGCACTTCTGTTTGCAGCTTTCTTGAGCCTGAAAGAAAAGTCGTGTGTGAGCAAGTGCACACACTAATTATTTGGTGGATCTTTTTACATCCTCAGCAGCTTATACAACAAGTATGAACCAGTAAGTTTGGAATTATGTCTGTAGTACATCTGAAAACATAGCAAACCTGGGATTTTAAGTTGGAGTTATGCTTCTTCCTCACAGTATTGTTTGTAAACAGCACTTTATCAACACCACATTGTCTTTAATAATTGATTACTCCAAGTCCTGATTCAAGCAAGGGGAATATTCTATCTACCCTCACTTTCTATCTTTGCATGCATACACATGCAGCCACACTTCTGTGAGTTTGTCTGTTTCTAGAGACCAGGTTTCCAAATCCCAGCTATTGGCCAGTCTAAGCTTATGTAATCAACTTGGGATTGGAACAAACTCAATGACAACCATTGCTGATTAAACCACACTTATACAAAGGCAAAGTAAATTGAACTAGATATGCTTGCAGAGATAAGATAGAAGCTGATTATCTTGCATAGCAACAAAGGAGAGCTGCCACACTGGAATAGACCAATGGTCCATCAGTTTCCAAATTGTTCCCTCTGGTTACAGCCAACACTTCAAAGAATACAGGGAGTCAACACTCCCAGAAGTCATTATTCGCCATAATGAGAACAAGAGAAATCAGTTAATAACTCCAGTTTCTTTAGGCACATTTTAAGATGTTTATTTTAAACTTAAGAGGGTGAAAAGAAGCTCTTCCCTCGAGCACTTAAATCTAAAATAATTCTTTTAAACATGTGACATCTTCACTTATTCTTTACAGTCATTTCCAACACTGGGACAGAGTCCAAGAATTTCAGTAGGCCACTATGAGGACAGAATTTCAGTTTCTTTTGTCCCTCCACCTCTCTTCACAGAGCCTGAAAACTTGACTCATTAAGGCCACAAAACATTTCACCTCTCAAAGCTGCTATCTCAAGGTGCACTTTTATAATAAGTGTGATAAGATGCCCTAGCTTGGAAGGTCATTGAGAACAGTGGCTCTCAGTCATTCCCTCACCTCTGACAGCCAAGGCGGATTTGGTGGCTCTGGCAGGACATTACCATACCTGTAGCCACACCACAGGGCAAGTTCTTGCTTGCAAAGTCCAAGTTTCCAAGCAACCACCAACTGAGTTTGCAGAAGTCATGCATGTAAATCTTCAGCCATGGAGCACAATTTACTTGCAGTGGTAAAATTAAGTGTACATATACTATATACTCCATCTATTATATCTAATAAATGAAATTTATTATGAAATCAAACAAGTCAAGTAGCTGAAATAAAAGTTTTTATCATCTCTACTAGTATTTTTAGGCAGGTTTCTTGAGTGGTAAATTAACAGCCAATTATCCATTCTTTCTCTCCATAGAGACTATTACCCTAGCCTTCAACAATCTAATATAACTGAGGCCCAGTAATTCATTCCCTATTCTGTTCACGTGAGATTTTCTCCTCTTTGGTCTGATCAAATATGAAAAAACCTTAGAAAAGACTTGTCTAGAATTCAATTGATTTAATCAGAGACTGGGATGTCAAATTACCCCGGAAGATTAAAAACATTAACAAGAGAGACAGAATACACATTTTGCATATTGGAAAATAGCTATTTCAGACACCTTTTGAAAGAAGTAACAGTTCAAAAGTAAACAGGTAATTGGCCTGATTTGTTGCTGTACAAGATAACCAGATTCCACCCTTTAAGTCAAGGATACACAAAAGGCTTTGTTGCTTACCAAAACATAGAGCAATCAGTATGAAACAAACATCTCAACCTAGAATCTGTGGATTAAAGTTTATTGTTCAACTTCCCTTTTCCAAACAATACAATAGAAACCTGAGGAAAATAAATTCTGAATATCAGTTCTTATTAAGACTGTTAGTATTAATATTAGTGCTCTATTAGTACTCTACATACCACTTGACTAAGATTCCTGAGGAGGAAAAGGGTGTGACAGGCAATCAGTAGATGTACCTCTTATCGCTTGATAAAGAGTGTTTTAACAACACTCTTTACCAGTCAGAGATAAAGGTCCAAAACAAGTTACATGGACTGCTGCAGGAGTTGTTTCTAACTGTAATAATTCGCGAATATAATTAAGAAGATGGCTACACTCTGCACCACACAGAAGACAGAAAATGAAGAAGCCCGCAGTACTCGTTGCTCCCATCATGGGCTAGATCAGGACTCTCTACTCAGCTCAGGTCTTTATACCCTGATTTAACACCACTTCTTTCCTTCCCCTCTAAAGCTTTAAGACAGCGACCAAGACTTCTCAGAAAGCTGAGAGCCCCCAGAACAAAGCAGGAGGCAGATAGCAGACGGAGTCAAAAAGACAAAGGCAAATGACTTCAGTTTCTTAAACTCCTTTGGGCAGGAAAGACAAACATAACGGTCCTTGCATGCCACGAGGTAAAACCCAGCTTAGCATTCTGTGAACGACTGTTTGTATGCTGACAATAGAATAATCAAGTACTTCCTCCAGCGTGAAAGCACATGCATGACAGTGCGTGTGTGTCTTGTAACTCTGAGTCCTTTCCAGCTCTGCACCTCATCCCTTGTAGCCAACTGTTTGCACAAAGCAGGTCCCATGCTTTCTCCAGAGTAGATGCTGAGACACAACAGCTTCTCCAAATCAGAAAAACCTGCCTTGTCAGTTAATTTTAGTAAGAAACTTCTGTTCCGTAGCCACTCTTCATCTGCCAATACTTAGCACCTGGCTGGCAGGGGCTGTACTCAAAAGAGCATTCCTTGGGACAACAGGGAGTTGTTTGGGAGCTCAGAGAGAGAGATGAAGTAGTATGGACCAAAGATCAGTAACTTAAACTTTATTTAATGGGTACAAAAAATACAAGCTTATGTACCACAAAAATAAGGAGAAGTTGAGATGGCTGGAAACAGTGCAGCCTTAATTCCCTCTGCTGGTGGGAATCAAAGTGAGGCTGCCTAAATGGCACTTGCACATTGCCTTGCAAGAAACATCTAAGGGTGTTAGTACTCTCCTCTGTCTCTTCAGAGCCCTAAGGAACCTGAACAATGCTTAGTAAGAGACTTGAGAATATTTACTGCCACTATCATTTGTCATTGAATCAGAAGAGTTCTTCTGGAAAGAGGGGAAACTGCTAGGGCTAATGATTACACCATGGATAAGTGTGTTTTGAGGGGAGAGACAGACTTACATGTATTACAATATCTTAAAGTAGAAATATAAAATCTTAATTCTTACATAGATAGGATTAATGCATACTGCTAATACTTGGGGGGGGGGGGGGGGAGGAAGTTAAAATTCAAACTAGAACCTTAGGCAGACAAAGGGAACAACCATTTTTGGGTTAGTTTTTGTTTTTCAGAATTTTCCTAGGCTCACTGTTTAGATTTAGAGAGGATTAGTTACAATACTAAACACAATTTATTGTTCCTTCTATACCTAATTTCAGAAACCTGAAAGGTCACAAACCATAAAAGATGGCTGCCTAAAACTCCATTTTAGAAAAAAAAAAAAAAAAAAGGAATTCCAATTCCTGAAAGTGTTTTACATTGTTCAACCATAACTATTAGGCACTTCATAATTATGACCATTAGTCATTTTGTCATCTAATGGCATTATCATAATGCTAACGAGAATGGAGCCCACAATTATCTCAGCAGTTGCACACAGTCATCTCCTGATTACATACATTCAGATGACAGCTGTTTTCCCTCCACTTAAATAAAGTTGGTACCACTTGATCTGATGATCTAAAGACTCCAGAATCCTCAAAAGTGGAACAGAAGCACACAATCCTCAGCTGACCTTAAATAATACTTAGAATTTTAAATCAGAAGAAAATAACTAGATCATAAAAACTGACTTTAATATCTTTTGACCATGAAGTGTCTTCATTCTAGGTGTTGTAATAAGTAATATATATATCTGTGTGTCTATACATATATATATATGTAATGGATCTCCATACACATATATGTTTGTGCGTGCATACAATAAACAGACACATCTCTACCTGACCTTATTACCTATATTTAATATACACCAATTGCCCAAGGGTCACGCAAACCTTTAGCAACACCTCGATTAAAAAGCAATGATTTCTCACGGAGGCACTTGCCGAGATGTTTGTGCACCGCAGACCTACGATGGGCTGGCTTGGGTTGGACATTGCACTCCATAGACAACATCAGAGCCAAAACATTTTCCAACCTGCCTGCAGTTAAACAACACCCTCCAAACATCATCTCCTTCCTGTCTAAAAATAACAGTGATGGCATTCGTACCCGATAGCACAGCTTAGAGCAAGGGGCAATAAAAGAGGCAAGGAAAACGAGCATCACGTGCCTCTCATTCTCCTCTAACAGCATTGCAGCACTGATAACACACCTTTTCGGTTAGAAACTGATGCTGCACAGTGAGCATTGGCATCATGCAGATGTCACTGAACCGAAAATTAGTAAACAATGAATGACACTGTTACCTACTTCGTTTCCACATTCAGTGTCAACAACTTATTTCAACTCCCAGGATAACCTGAACAAAATTGCCAGAAGCCAGATCCTGCCTTATCTGATAGGTTACACCCAAGAGCTCCTGAACGGCAATACTTTCCCCCGGAGCGTAACTTTTGTTTTACTTCACACCTGTTAAAACAAACAAACAAACAAACCACCCGGCCCAAAAGACTGTATCTGTAGGACATTCAAGCCTAGAGTACCGGGCTGGTCTGGAAGACTCCGCGGGGAGGACGAGCCCCCTACTCGGGAGGTGGGGAGAGGGCACGGCGGTCCCTCGGGTGCAGGTGAGGGGCGGCCCCGGGAGCCCCGCACAGCGCCGGCCGCGCCGGGACGGTGCCCCCGCTCCAGGGGACCGTCCCAGCGGCTGTAACGGGAGCGCGGCGCGGAGCAGGTGCCCGGCGGGAGCGGGGCGGTACTCACACGGTGAAGTGGTACACGAAGCACTTCCAGCCCGTGGGCCGCTCCAAGAAGTTGTAGACCCTGCCCTGGACGCTGCTGCGGCTCAGCAGGGGCTTGCGGAGGCTGTAGATGGAGACGCGGGGGTCCAGGCTGACGGGGGGCCGCGGGCAGTCGGCGCTCACCATCACCACCTCGCTCCGCAGGCGCGGCGCCCGCTCCCGCACCGGCTCGGTGCCGCAGCCCGGCGGAGCCTGCCCGCCCTGCGCCGAGGACAGCGGGGCGTAGTGGGCGTTCGGGGTGCTCTCGGCCAGCTCCAGCGCCGACGGCTTCTTGCCGGGCGTCATGCTGCCCCTCCTGGGCAGCGACAGCCGGCCCAGGCTGCGGCTCTTCGGCTCGCCCGGCGGGGAGCTGGAGGACATGGCTGGGGCGGCCGGGGCAGCTCTGGCGGCGCGACGGTGTCGGGGCTGCGCTGCGCTGCCCCGGGAGTTGCGGCCGCCGCCGGGCTCCCTGTCCCGCCGCCGCCGCTGGCCCGGCCCCCGGGGGGCGGCTCCCGACGGGGAAAGGTGCGGAGAAGGGCGGGGGCGGGCCCGTCCCGCCCGCAGTCCCGGTGCTGCCCTGCGGGAGGCGCTGCCGGCGGCCCCGCAGCCCCCTCAGCCTGGCCCCGACGGCGCGGGTTTGGAGGGCAGCGCTTGGTGGCGTCTGGACCGCCCTCCGTGTCACGTTCAGAACAAATCACACGCTGTAAAGTGTCACTCTGACCTTCACCTGTATCACCTGTCCCCTTGTCACCGCCATGGCTGCGTGGAGGTGGCCTCTCACCTGTGTGAGGAGCTGCGAGGACAGGGAGCAGCCTTCCAGCAACCCTGAAACCCAGCAGGCTTTCACGTCGTCTCAGCCCACTCCGTGGGGCAAAGTGCTCCAGTGTTTCCCAGACCTGTGGCCTTGGGTGGCTCGAGCTTCAGGGGTACAAGCCCTTACCTCAGATTTAGGACTACCAAGGCCTTCAGGGTCGACTGGTCCATCCCTTTTTGCAGAATTTGAGCACCTGGGAGCAGCAGAGCTCTGCCGGACTCTGAATCCTCAAGGAGGCTCTTTTTAATATGAGTAACAGGAATTAAGAGCTTGGACAACAGGCCTTGCAGTTCCTCATGTTACTACAACATAAGGAGTAAATAGCTAAACAATGGGGAAAATCGTAGAACGCAATAAACACGGTTCTGCAGTCTTCCGTCCTCTACAGTTTGGGTCTCTCATCAGCAACATTTTGGTTTTTGTGGAAGGGTGCATGTGTTTGGCCACGAAGAACAAGTTGTTTCAGGGCTTGGATAACTTTCCTGTGTAGTAGAGTAAGTTATGACTTCCTTATCTGTGGTGTGAATCTATTTGTCATGGCTTTTTGCACCAATTGGTTAACAATTTCTATTCCCAGAGCAAAGAGGAGGGTGCTCTTTGATCTGGGCTGATGGGTTTTTTCATTCTAGCCCAAAATAGAACAGCATTGGTAAGAGCTATGTTGAGTTCATGGCTGATACTGGTGCTCGGACAAGAATGTTACAGGGAGATAAGGTGCTAAATAAAGTTAAACAAAAACAACCCTGCTAATTGCAGTTCCATTCAAATGTCAGGCTGCAGGAATGGTAGGGGAACTGGGCTAGATCCTTCACTAGTGTAAACAAGACTGGTAGTCCCTTTTACTGATTTACACCCATGTCAAAGGCTCTAGAAAAACAGAAGTGTTTAAACGCGAATTTGCAAAACTTCTTTGTAAACCAGCAATGTACTAGCCAGGCTTTCCCTCCCTCCATAAGAGCATGAAGAACAAATGAGCTTAATAAAAACAGCATTTCAAAGGAAAGTTTTCCCGTATCTGGTCAAAACAGAGCCAGGTTTCTCTATTTTGAGAAACTGTTCTTTCTTGCAATAAGCCTGCAAGAAAAATGACTAATGGAAGAAAGAATGTCATGGCTACCCTTGAAGGCTCACTGTTTGAGGACTAGCCTGATAAAGTCTTGATATCAAAGTTAACAAATGTCTTTATTCAAGTGTTCCACTTTGTTTTATAGACCAACATAACATTGTCTGGGTTATTACAGAACCTTATTCTGGAGCCAGCTGCAAAACATAACTTACAGAGTTCAGCAAAACCAAAGGCTATGTGTTCATATGTTCATTATGTTGCTTTTCAAAAGCTTTTCAAAATCTTTTAAAAATATCTTGCTATTATGCTGTTATCTATCCATTGATAAACAAAACAAAGTATAGAACCCCCACCGTATCTGAACTTAAGAAAATGGAATTTCTGTATTACTTATGCAATTTCCTTCCAAAACACAACTTAAAGAGGTATTATATACTTTAATGGCTAAGCAGAGAAGAAAATAGGTAGGAACTAAATTTGATCTTCAGTGTCCAATGAGAAACTTCCGAACAATCAAAAATTTTTTCACTAAAAAAAGAGAAAAGTCACAAATATATTCCATAGCCCAATATCTTGAAATGTTTTTCAGGTCAGAAATATTTTCATAACGTTTTAGGTTGGATCTCTAATGTTGATAAAATATTTCAAAGAATCATCACAGATAAAGGAATTCTAAAATATTTAAAATTAGTATTGAGACAATACCTAAACAGCTTTTCCCCGGAGTCAAGGAATTAATCAAAATCCACTTTTTAAAATTTATTACTGGTGGATGATAACGTTTATTTTATTTAGTAAAAATAATTTTGTTAGATAATTGCCAGCTATGCCATGTTACTGAATGCTAAAACTTCTGTCTGGCACAGATAGAGGCAAGAGCGTAATCAAAGAAAAGTGTCAAATAGATGAGTACTTAGTGATGAGAATCCAGGGAATAATTATCTATAATGTATCTTAAGTTACCAAAACTGTACTATAATGTGCAACATTTTCAAGATGAATACTTTACCATGGTAATGGCAATTCCTGATTTTCCCCTTCATAAGTAGCCATGTCTTGATAACAAACATGTTCATTTTACAGAACAACAGAATTGTGTTAGTAGAAGAAGACAAAAAAAATATCCAGAAAGTACGGTGTAAACATGGAAGATCTATAAATGGGAAGAAGAGGCAGATGAGTGTTCAAATACATTTATAGATCCAGGTATCTAGGCTTTGATAGTGAAGAGAATAGGAAGATACGTTCAATAAAGAGGATGTAAGTTTTAAATATTAAGGTGCAACTACTACACTGAATTGTTTCTTAGAACAATAAAAATTTAGTCTACTTTGAGGATGTATAGCGCTGTAGCAAAATGAATAACAACCATGATATTTGCTATTTCCCAGTTTGCAAGTACGGTTTTAAATCTTTATGTTTTTAAGAGGACTTTGCTTCTAAAAATGATATGTCATAAGTCGTTGAAGTATGATGACAATACATCAATTAAGCAGATGGTAAAGCTCCCAGTTCTAGTAATTTAACTGGAGCTAGACTAGTAAAGTATTTCTGAAAATCCCACTATTGAGCTACAGCAAATCAAAAATGTTTGTACCACCTTGGGGCTCTGTTTCTGTTATCCTGTACCAAATTATGACTGATATCATGCAGGCATTGTCAGATATGCTGATTACAATGCTGTATTTTCACTTTGTGCCTGCCTGTGATCATGTCAGATCACATTGCTAATTGTTTACAAGCTGGAATTGCTGCAGCTAGTTAGAAAGAGGCTCCTTGATCTTTTACGTGAGTACTTCCCCGTGGAAGCTAAGACTCAAACAAACAGTAAGTATCTGAGTGTTCTCTGTCTTCTGAAAGCCTTTAACACTTCCGTTGCAATTACAGGCTGCACCAGTTTTCCACTGGCATGGAAATCATTTTGTTTGCTGTTAGATTACTTTGGGGGATGGTTTTTGTTTGATTTGGTTTGGGTTTTTTGGTTTGGTTTAGGTTGGGTTTTCCTGAATGTCACTTTCCATTTCTGCCCAGCTGTAGGAGGGAACATGTTAAAAAATTTTTCAAGGAGAGGAGAGTTGTATTGTCTTACTTTTGGGACCATTTTTCTTGAATTAAAACAAATATTTTGTTGCATTCCATTTCCTGGAGAATCCACCATTTAATCGTCAGCAGATAATTTTAAAAACAGCCAGTAATGAAGGTAAACGCACTGAACTGAGAATAAGTTTCTAGATTTTTTTATACATTTTCATATAGCAATAACTGTATGACAAAAACTTTTGAAATATTATCTGTCAATTAAAAAATTCTGTTCACAGATGCATCATTACTTTCATAGCTTTCCTATTAAAAGCTACAAAACAAGTAAGTACCTAGACCACACACACAAAGAAAAGACTGACCACCAAGTTTTTCCTTCAAGTGAATTTATACCAGCTACCTTGATCAGTAAGATCCACTGTTACCATGTCATTGCTCCACCTTCAGTGTGGGCTTCTGTTAGCCATTGCTGTCTGGGCTTCCTGGATGTCAACAAAAGCAGTAGTACCACCAAGAAGTATGAGCAAAGAATGTCTGGGGAAGGTGACACCTTTACTAATCATTCAAAAAGCACCACGTTAGGGTGCTGCTAATTAGGACAAGATCTGCTGTGAAAGACATGGGAGATGTTCATCCTTAAAAATTACAGAGATCACGGCAGCATAGATGATGGGCAAAGTATGTCCTGGATCATACACTCGATAAACTGGACAATACAGCCTCATCTATTCTGAAATGCTGTCTTCAGAGGCAAATTAACTATCAACAGGTAGAATAGAACCTGGGAAAAGAAAGAGAAACCCATGTTCCTCCATTTGTAACAACTTCACAAAGCAAAAGCCACCTAAAAAGTTAGAAATTAATCAGTCGTGTCAGAGATCACATTTATGGATCACTTCCTTAAAAGACTAATCACTGTCAAAAAAGACACATTTTAACAGGTGTTTCAGTCTCTTTCAAGACAGATGGAGCAGTTAGAAAAGAGCTAACAACATTCTATTCAAAAAGTTTAAACTGATTTTAATTCCCTCCCCTCTTTGCTGTTGGGTTATTTTTAACTGTGGATGCAGTAAGTTTAGGAATCTGATCAGTAGAGAGAAGTCACATTGCAAAGGGTAGTGGCATGCAGGAGATATCTGGAGCATGGAGGCTGTGCAGTCCAGCAGCTGATAATCCTGATTAACATTATCTGTTTGAATGCTATCTCAGTGCATGGTTATGTCTACATTTATATTACAGTTTTACATTGTTTCATAGGTTTTCAAAGCACATTCATGTTCTTCTGGGAAAGAATGTTATTGTCTACCAATGCTCACATTTTAAGTTCTAAAGCAAAGAACTTTGTGCCTATTCTGAGTGTATATTTAGACTTAGGCCACACAAACAACAACAACAAAAAAAAAAGTTGATGAGTACCTCAGCCTTCTCCTCATCTGCTGTTACCAGTTTTCAGACATTGTT